TTTATTTTAATATGGAGTATGGATTGATATTTTAAGACTAATACTTGTTTCTATTAATCCAATGAATAGAAAGTAGAGTTATTGATCAGTGATTTCTAATTTTAAAATAATTGACTGAGTAGACACTAAACTCTGTCCTTCACCAAATCCAATGAGATTCATCAGAGATTTAAAAATAAATTATTAAATGGAATGCCATGCTGCAAAAGGTAAACCTGAGTAGACCTGAAACTGAGATACAGCCCCCAAAAAAGGAACCAGATCGCTAGAAAGCGACATGAACAGATAAGCTAAAGAACTGAATGCAGACAGCTGAAGGGTAAGCAAGGAGAATGAGCTGAGGAAGCCCCTCAAAATACTTTACAATGCAATTATTTTCAAAAGGGACACTGGAAAACCAAAATTTCCAACATTTATCTAGTAGGCGATCTAGGAGAATGTGGATAATATGGGAGAGTGATAATATTTTTTAAAATAATGACTAACAGTTTCCCAGAAAAAAAGAAACACTTGGGTACCCAGATTAAGAGATCTCACAAAGTCCTGTTAGGAATAATTCTTAAAAACATAAACGACCCATTTTTTTAAAGAAACATATATGTCAAAGTGATACCTAAGACTATCAGAGATAAAGAAAATCCTCAAAGCGAAGACATAGAATGTAAAAACATGCTAAAATTAAAATTCCAGAGCATCAGATTGACACCAGATATCTCTCATTATCCACAGTGCATATAAAAAGATAATGCAGAAACATCTTCAAAATCCCAAAGCAAAACAACCTTGAACCAAAATTGGAAATGCAACCAAATTATCACCCAAAAGGGAAAGTGTGATAAAGATTGTCTTGGACATAACAGGCTCTAAATTAACCACCACTGACCCACTATTTCACACACACACACACACACACACACACACACACACACACACAGAGTTAAATCTTTAAAAGTTTGACCATAAAAATGATTTTAATAATAATTTGGAACTAAATTTCCAGACGATAAAAATACGGGAGATGGGGGAGGGCAGAAAGAACTAAAAAAAGTTTCTCTTCTGAATCGGGAATGTAAATACTGGTGATATTTATTTTTCTAATAAAATCTTCAGTTAAAGTATCGTCTCTAAGAATAACATACTGAATAGAGCTAAAATAAACTCTTCTATCACATGCCTAACCACCCACTCCTATTACAAATCTAAAAAGTGTTAAAAGGTATATTTTAAAATTAATAATAGTACGTACAAGTTTTGGTATGGACATATACTTTTACTTATCTTGGATAAATATCTAGGGAGAAACGACTGGATTGTATGCTAAGTGTATGTTTAACTTTTCAAGAAACTACCAAAAAGTTTTCCAAAGTGGGCATACCATTAACATCCCCACTAGCAGCGGACAAGGGCTCCAGTTCCTGCACTTGCTCATCATCACTTAGTAAGATTAGCCTTTTAGAGGATCGATAGGGAGGGAGGAAGGCAGATAGATCTATGACATTAACCATCTTTTCTGCAGCTTATTTTTATCTCCTCTGATAAAGTGTCTGTTTAAATCTTTTGCCCATTTTTTAATTGAGTCATTTGTCTTATTGTTGGCTACAATTACAATGGGGCTTCTGTCTTTTTGGCAAGAGGAACCAAGATAAGGTGGTAATTAAAATGATGTTGCAGTGGCACAAGACTCAACAATAGATCCTCAAACACACTAGACAGAAAGTACAGCAACAGACTGTGCCTATCTGGGGACTCAACATAGAATAGCAGCATCATTTAAAATTGGTCGGGAACTGAGAAATCACTCCCTAAGTGGTTCTGGGACAGCTGGTTATATCAAACTTAGATCCTTACCTCATACTACAAACAAAATTAAATCACAGGTTGATTGTATATACTTACTCATCAGTAGACCTGAACTGAGTAGACCTGAAACTTACCCATTAGTAAGTTTCAGTAAGACCTATACTTACCCATCACACAGAAGGGAGAAACTGCAAAAGTGGCTCCTTACTTCAGATGTCGCAGAGCTGAGGACAAAATACCTATGATTGCACTTAAGTCATTTCAGAAGCCCCAGTGCCTAACTGTGGGATGGAATGATGGATGGATGGATGGATGGATGGACGGACGGACGGACGGACAAAGAGATGGACAAACAAATGGATGCCCAACCTATCAACTGCAACCCACCGAAAGCTCAGGCCTGATTCTAGTCCAGTGCTCCCAGAATGCAGAGAACTTGAAAGATAATTCATACGGTTATACAAAGTCTAAGCTAGACAGGTCCAAAAGGATCATTTATTCTAACATCTTCATTTTATAGAACATAAAACTGAAATCTGTAGAGGACTATTTGCCCATCATCTTTGGAGAAAGGATCTTGACTCCAAGTACTGTACTCTTTGTATTAAGGGGTTATCCTTTAAGTAATGACTCTTTCCCCCTACCCCTGTATCCTTAACTAGGTCATTCAACCAACTTTGTGGTGACCGTCCTTTTACCGTCCAAAAGGCCCAATGATTACTGGATTGCCAAGGGGTCGGCTTTGCTTTGCCAGCTGAACGAGTGAGGGGGCATCTCAGTGCTGAAAAAGCAGCAGCTGGAGATCTTTGAAAGGGAAAAGGATCTGCATAACTCATATGTGATCAAAACAACATTACTACTGATTTAAGCATAGTAAATGTGGCTTTTATTTCTCTTATAACCTAAAATAAAGTGTCTGAGTTTTTTCTTTCTGCTGGTAAGTCAAGCTCTGATGTGAAAGTAGTGGGTTCAGCACCCACCTCTTAAACCTGCTCCCCTCCCCAAAAAGAGACCCAGGAAGCCCCCCAGCACAGCCGGAACTCTGCACTTCCTTACCCACATAGGCTTCCCTCCTCTTCACACAAACATGAAAGGCCTGGTTTATGCTTCAGTCACACTGCCCAGATGAAGATGAAGATTCAGAGCCTTCATCATGGTGGGGGCACGGGGGGCGCGGGTGATGCAGTGATTCTGACTATTGGTTGCAAATGAGCAGGATGATAAGACCCAGGCCCAGCGCACCAGTTCCCCGACCACGTGGCTGCATTACAAACCCTTAGAAGAGCCTGTGCTTTCAGCAAAGTGGAGGTGGGTCCTGCCCAGTTCCGAGGAATTTCCCCTTCCGCTTTAGGATGAACCTGTGTGAACGCTGGCCAAGTGCCACCCAGGGCCATTTGACCCTGCCACCTCAAAAGCAGGGTTAGGTGGGCCAGTGCTAAGGAGGAGAGTGGCAAACCATTTTCTCTCAACCCTGCCAACGAGTCTGTTTGCCGGACCTTGGCCATAGTTGAGCCAAGACACTGGGAATGCCCAACCAGGATGTGGGCCTCTGGGAAAAGCCAGCCGCTTGCCCACAGGAAATTGCAAGAACTGGGTCAATCATAGTAATCCAACCCTCTGCTTTACCTCCACCTTCCCACCCTCATCCCCATACCTATCAAAATGAAGGACAGACTCAAGTCACAGAGCAGCAGGGAGCACCACCTCTCTTACTCAGAGGCCAGTGCAGACGTGAGAACTACTCGGTGTTCCAAGCAGGAGCAGGGACGCTAGGCTTGGGAATGGCCGCAGCTGCAGAAGTCAGAGGGCACCGCTCTGTGCATTAGGCACCACAGCAGCTGTAACCCAAGGTCCGAAAGCTGCAGGAAAACGCACACCTCACAACTACACCAGGCTCGTGAGGCAGGTGACTAACCAGTGGGATGCGGAGCTTGGCGCCTGCACAGCCCTATGTCTCCTGGAACCTGCACATAACTGCCACTGCCACTGATAAAAGGTCTTCTGCCCCCTTGGCCTTCCAGCTTCCCCAAAGCATACCTCATGACAAGAATCTTAGTTATAAGAGCAATAGAACCCGGGGAAGTGTAGCCTTCCTACCCCTGCCGTACACTGGGTGCAAAGGACCCTAAGGGCCATCACACCACTCTTTCCATGAGACCCTCAAAGACCTTCTGGTCCCAGGAAAGCACTGAGAATGAACACACAAGAACGTCTCTGGAAAGGAAGGCAAGGCCACAGAGCTGCAAGCGCGGGCAATCATGCTAACCTAACCCAGGCTAGGAACAAAGCCACCCAAGTCCTGGGAAGACCCTCTGGGTGGTGAGCTACTTACTGAGAGGCCCAGGAGGACCATAAAGAAACCTTGCCACAGGTGGGAGACCCTGGTCTGGAAATATGGTGGGAGCGGGGGAAGGGGGGAGAACCAGATTGACTTCGCAGGGCTAAAAGTTCCCATTTCAGACAGAACTGGGGCAGTTCACTTACTCAGTTTATATAAAGATTTCCCATAAGATTTTATTTGGAAAAGACATAGACGTATAATAAATAAATTATTTAATTAATTAATTTTTTAAAAGGCAGGAGCAGGGAGCATTTGAAAACCACTCTCTTGCATCGCCCCTGACAAGCATGTCGGTGACGCACCCACGTTACACATAACGAAAGCACTTGTCAGAGTGCAGGAAGCACCCTGCTCACCAGACCATGACTAGAGACGAGTAGAACAAAGGCCCCATGGCCTACTGACTCCCCTGCATCCAGAGCCAGGCGTGAATGGGGAGAAGAGCAGCAGGAGGAGAGGAAGATGGGTCAGGGTCAAAGTTGCAGGGAGGCCCAGGAGTAGGGCCCAGGTGTGAAGCAGTGATACTGGTCAGAGGCTGTGAGCAAAAGAGTTGTTTCTCTGACATATACACATTATGGGAAAAAGTCTACACACAAAAACTGGTATTTAATTATTTTCACATAATTCATTTACAATTAATTATTTCCATACAGTTCATTATGTTACAAACTGTACACTCCCCCCAGCATTGTTGGAAAGCCCGAAGTCATTCCTTGGAAAGAGAAGAATCAACACTGGCTTTGATTCTGAACATCTTCTCCTGGGTCGGGCCTATCGAGGCCAGGCCAGAGCATGGAGGACGGGAATGGTCGTCCTTCAAGTCCAAGGGCTCCGGGTCTTAGCCTGGCTCCTCCAATCATTACAGGAGGGGTGTCTCTGTTTGGAAAGCCAGAACCAGCACCCAAAACACAGGAGTCCAGAGAGACAGGGAGGCACTGCTGGCCACCATCTGGCGGTGCTGGGAGCGTCCGGGGCGAGGGAGCCGCAGCTCAGCAGAGATGTGCCTGTCCAGAACAGGCGCCTGGAGTTGTGGCACCATAGCACTAGGAGGCAAAGGAAAAGGGTCTCAGGGCACAGCAGGAGCCACTGGAAACTCCAAGGGCCCCGACGCCAGCTCAGCTTCTTTTCATCTCCCTTCTTTAAAGACCAGACTAGTCCTTATATTAATAAATTTCTTTTGCCTTTGACCCTTGTTACCACTGCTACAACAAAACCACAAGCAAGCACTGAGACTAACACATTGGGTGATTCTCCCCTGGCTATTTGGTTCTTGGTTCAAGAATTATTAAAACTCCAGGCGTAGGAAGGCCCAACTAGATTTGCTTATCATCAGCTTCTAGGCATTCGCAGGCAGGGACCCTCCTTACTGACCATACACACAGGCACAGCCAAGCCAGGGGGAGTCCTCTCTGGGTCTCTGGCTCTCTTCCCTCCCCCAGTTCAGGTCTGGTGGGAACACCACACGAGACACCCCAGGTCAAGACCGTATGAGCTGAGCGGCCCATGACCTGGTCCTTTTCAGCTCAGCTGTAAAGGGCCCAGCTCCATGGCCACCTTGAAAGAAAAAGGCCCAGATTGAAAAAAGTCCTAAACAGATCACTGTATCTCTCCATCAATGACGGATGGTTGAGGAGTCAAGCACCATGGGCAACCCGGACACCAAAACGATCTGTCCCTGTCCTCCAGGTCCCATTTGCCTGCTGTCCAAGTGCCACAGCACACTGGATGCCTGCTTCACACCCTTCCACGGCTCCCTCCTTCCCTCAGGCATAAGCCTCTCTCAGTCCCCGCACCTGTTTACTTCTCTGGACCCGTCTCATCGCACTCCCTCTTGACTTCTCAGACTCCAACCAGAACTACTTTATCTGGATTTCTTTAACATGCTCACTCTCTCCACACCAGGCTTTCACACCGTGCCCTTTGCGTGGAACTCTTTCCCTCCTCGTTCAGCTATTTATTCATGCATCCAACATTTATTATTGTGCACCGTGCAGGCACTGGGTCCCTGCATCTCCTGATCCAGACTCAGAAGCCTTATTCATTGGGGTCCACTTTGTCAGGCTTCTACGCAGCATGCCCCTGGAGGCCTTCCATGACCGCCCCTCCCCCCACCAAGTTAAGTGGTAACCTCCCACACACACACATGGACATTCCCACAGCAACCTACACTTGGCTTGCAGATAATCAACTCAGAATTGAGCTTTCTCCCCAGACTGTGAGCTCCATGAAGGCAGAGGGCCATTGTCTGGTTCACCCCAAAGCCACAAGAGCAGGAGCACAGGAGGAACTCAGTGAGTCTGGGTTGAACTCAATTAGATCCTGGATCCCAAGCCTCTCAGGTGTAGTTCTTCCAACAGCCCTATGCCACACAGGCCAGGCTAGGTGACCATCCCCTACAACCACCTCCGATCCACCCCCTAGGCCTCTCAGAGAGTGCATACTTTCTTGGTCATCACGCTCCCTGCGTTGGGGCTGAACTAGCTCATTCCTACAGAGCTGTTTCCAGCTCTCTACAACTATGAAACTCTCTCTGATCTGTGGTGGAGAAAGGGCTGACCAATCAAGTTCTTTACAACCTTTATCCCAGCCTCATTCTACTTTTACCTGTTAACTTTCAAAAGATCCATCCATGCCCCTGCCGCCACCACCATTTGTTAACAAAGATAAACATGTTGCCCTTACCCTGGCTTTAAGCAACTACTTTTAATCTGGACTCATCTCTGTCACAGTGGACAGAAGATCACTGCCCCAGGCCGTGGGGAAGAGCAGATCCATGCGGCTGGGGGCCGGGGGATTGGGGGGGGGCACTCATTCTCACCAGAGCATTGAACCTCCACCCCTTAAGCAGGGTGGGGGCATTCATGGGCTGCTCCCCACGCGTACTCGTGGGGTGAGGATGGAAGCAGGTGATGGGGCCCTGGCCGGCCCGGCCCAGCCCGGCCCAGCCCGGCCCAGCCGCCTCACCTCTCCTCCAGTCGGACCCACAGGTCGCTGAACTGCCGAAGCTGCTGCCTCCTCTGTGGCCGCCTCCGCTTCTTCCGGAACTTCTTCTTTGCCTCACCTGGCTGCTCAGTACTTCCAGGCAGGGGCACATGGGGCGGCAAGAGTGATTGCACTGTAGACCCGGCTTCCAGCACCAATGCCTCCAGGGTAGGTCCTTCCGGAGCAAAGATGGCAGAGGAGGTGGGCTGCGATGAGGGTCTTTTAGTCCTCTCTCTGTAAACAAGGATGAAAGGAAGAGGGGTTTGAAGAAGGGCCACACAGCATGGCACCCACCCCACCTCCCCGCCTCACAGGTAATGTGAAAGTCCAGTCCTGCCATGGAGGGCAGGGTTCTCGAAAGCACTCCGAGAATTGATCACATACCCTCACCTACTCTATCCAAATCTCTGGGCTCTGCGCAGGAAATATGAGATTTCCCTTTAGCTGTATATAAGTATTGCCCTTCCCTAAATTGGGTCAACACTGTCTAGAAAGTCCCTGAAGATTACTGCATTTAAAGAGAGGTGAAAGTCTTTAAATACTATTTACTTAGAACAATGGAAATAGCCCTTAACCCTGTCAATCCCTCATGCACCCATTTAAGGGCTCTTAGCTCTTTGGCCCCTGGGAGCCACTCCATCCCCCAACGGGTGTTCACAGGACTGGCTTCTAACCACCCTACCCAGGTCTGACTCTAAACCACCCTTTCCAGAGCGAACGTGTTTTTCACAACTGATGAGAAACTCAAACAGGCTTCTAGTTTTCCCATAAATATGACTACTGTCCCCCCAAAACTCTTCCAGTGAGGAAATAAGCCATTAGAATGACCAAACGTCTTCCTTCAACATGACTTTTCTTAAGGTTTGAGGGGAAGGAGGGCCAAAAGAAAAGGATCCCTGTCACTAGAGGTTAATCCCATTGTCTCCTGACGTAGGTAGTGAGGGACCTGAGGAAAGGGAGCAGTGGCTGTGCCCACGTGCCCAGTGCGGCCTCCACCAGTGCGGGAGCAGCAGACCATCACAGGTAAGAATGCAGCCGCTCCTCCCTCATTCGGCCTGACAAGCCGCCCACCTGCCAGGGCGGGCCTCCGTTCTGATCCCCAACCTGCCAGAACCGAGAGGTCAGTTGGTCTTCACGGCCCTGTGTGAGGAAGGGAGGAGGGGTAAGATAAAAAACAAAAAAGGGAAAGATGCAGGCTGGACCAAAAAAAAAAGGTAAAAGAAGGGAATTCCTCAAATGGCAAAGAAAGATAAAAGGCCCTTACTCTGAACCATCCAATAAAAATTAGCTTTATTCCTGCTTTTTATCTTTCTTGTATTTGATATCCTGGGGACTCATAACACCCACTTTACAGTTGAGGAAACTGAGGACCAGAAAAATAAACTGACTTGACCTAGGTCCCCCCAAGGATTTGGTGCTGTTTTCAAGTAACATGCATCACTGAGTTTTTTTTTTTTTCAGGTTATAAAGCTCATCCATTCTCACTGGAAAATATGAAGAGTAAAGACTAGTGTCGCTGTGATCTCCAGGGAGAGAGCCTAGAGGCAAAGGCTCAGACACAGACTTAAGGGTCCCTAGGGTGCTAGGGGTGCCTGCTCCTCTACCTGGAACAGAAAACTCCAGCTGTTGAACACACCCCAAACCCTCCCAGAGTTCCGGGCTGGCCTAAGCATCACAGGTTCAGGTCCTAGGTCTCCAAGTTTTCACCCATCTGAACTCCCAAAATTTAGCTTAACCTCTGGTTACTCATGAAGGCTTGACCCATGGTCATTTTGGCAACAGTATAGGACTATTGTGCTGACAGGCCACTTGTCCTCTGCTTCCATTTCACACAGCCCACTTACTCCACAGACATCCCCAAGAAAGAAACACCCTGGTTGATATGGCCTCTCTCCTGGGTGGACAGCCACAAGAGGACATGTGGTACCCAGGAAAGAGCCAGACTTGGAGCCTTGGGCTAGATGACTAGCTGAGCCTCTGCTGCCTCTGTAAAGTGGACGTAGCTTACTTTGTTACTGTGAGGATTAAAACAGCCATGCCCTATGTTTCACACAGAGCTGAGCACACAGTGTACACTTCATGTGCATTCCCCTTTCTCCCAATCCCACTGTCTGATGTACATACCCAAGCAGAGCTGGCCAGAACCTTGAAGCGCCCCACTATGTAGCCAAATGGAAATTCGCCAGATCCTCATTGGCATCTGGGGTAGGCAGAATAATGGCCCCCAAAGATGTCCACATCCTAAGAACTTTCTCAGAACTTGTGAATGTTGCCTTACAGGGGGAAAAGGATTTCTGCAGATGAGCTTAAGGACTTTGAAATGAGAGATTATCCCAGACTGCCTGGGTTGGCCCAATGTAGTCACATGTGCCCCTAAAACTCACCGGCGAGTCTCAGGTGAGGGCTTTCGTGAACTAGAAGGTGCCGTGTGACACACTGAACCTTTCTCTGATCTGTGGGAGCTGTAACTACAGGAGAATAGTCAGAGAGATGTAATGTTGCTGGATTTGAAGATGGGCGGGGGCATAAGCCAAGGAATGCGAGCAGCTTCTATAAACTGCAAAAAGAAAGTAAACGGATTTTCCCCTAGAGCTTTCAGATAGGAAGGCTGCCCTTCCAACACCGTGATTTCAGACTATTGAGAACTGTCAGCTTTCTGAGCTACATAAATGTAAGACAACAAATCTGTATTGTTGGAAGCCACTGAGTTTATACTAATTTATGGCAGCAAAAAAACAAACAAACAAAACAAAAAAACACCACTAATACAGTACCCATTATCCTGGGAAGGGAGCTACTAGCTAAACCCTCCACCCAACAGGACCCATGTCCCTTCCACTTCTACGCCCAGGGAAGGGCGGCAGCTTCACAGCCAGGAGCACTGCCTGTGTATTCCAGCCTGCTAACAGGTGGACCGTAGTGGCTGCCGGTTGCCCTCGCCCATGTCTTCCTAATACTGGCCTACCCCAACATCCGGGGGCTGGAGGGCCTGGAGTAAGCTAGGTCACCATTCAGCAGCCTCCCTGCCCCCACCCACACCAGCCTGCCCCAGATTCAGGTTCCATATGATCCAAATCATCCTCAAGGATTGTCACATGGCTGCTGAGGAAGGGAAGAAGGAAGCAGGTATCTCCGCTGCCCCTGCCCTGTCCTCCTCGGCCCCCCTTCGCTGTGGGCATTTCCCTTGCTCTGGGCCCTATCCCCTGCCCCTCCTCCTCCCTGAGCAGGGTCTCCTGTGGAGATGTCATGCTCCCTGTGACCTCGCCTAGGAGCACTGCAGGCAAGTTCACCACTGAAGGGTCTTAGACTGTCCCCTAATGGAGCACGCACCGTGTGCGGGGTGTCAGGGTGGCTAGTGCAGAAGCACACACCGAGTTCCTTGGGATCACGCAAGAGGGAGAGGCCAGGCTGGAGGAGTGAGGAAGAGGTGGCATTTGCGTTGGATCTCACAGATTCCAACAGAATTAGAGGCAGGGGCAGTGAATGATCCCTGGCAGGGGAAATTGCATGAACACAGACAAAGGGGCTGGAGAGTAAAAAGTGGGAGAAGAAAGGGCAGAAAGAGGTTTGTGCAGGTGGAGGGATCCAAACTGTATCCTGGCTCTGATTCGCTATGTGACCTTTCAGTTCCTTCATCAGTAAAGGAGAAGAAACACCCACCTTACAGGCTGGTTTTGAGGATTAACTGAGTCTGTGTGAACCTGGCTGCCACCTGGAAATTGATCAAGAGACGTTCTTTTCCTCCCCCTGCAAAGTGTGAGCAGCCCCGTTTGGCGACAGCGCCTGTTCTTGGCTCTCAGTATGCGTCAGAATCTCACGGAGGTATTTTTTACATGTTGATTCCTGACCGCTCGTCCTCCAGGGACAGGTGTCAAGGCTTATAGGCAGAATCAGGGAGCCTAGAGCAACCAGCAACACACCGCCCTCCCCCCGACCCCGCACGCAGGCCTTCTCCAGCACTGCCAAGAACAGTGTGTCAAACCCCAGCCCAGTCAGAGCCTGGGGCTGCCAAGAACAGTGTGTCAAACCCCAGCCCAGACAGCCTGGAGCTGCAGGCTGAGAAGTGACCAGGGCACTCAGCTCACTCTGCTTTCTGGAGCCCACAGTCCAATGGATGAGGAAAAACCCACAGGCCCTCAAAACAAGCAGAGAACTACTAAGGGCTGGGTTCTCTAGAGCTGACAGAGAACAGGAGGGAGAGATGGGTGGACACCTGAGCACCAGATGGAGGTGAACTAAGGAGGGGCAGGATTTTCCCCAACAGGGAGAGGAGGGAAGGGCACTTCAGACAAGGAAGAGGGCATTGGCAAAGGTGGAGAGGCAGTGACCAGGACAGAAGTTTTCTGAGGCAAGAAGCACATCTGCGCTGGGAAAAGGTAGAGTCTGGGTGCCAAGACATCAGCGTGAGGAAACTGGACTTGGAAAAGAACAAGGAAAAAGCACTGAAGGTTTCTGGGTAAGGGACACTTGAAAGGTTAGTCCCACAGAAAGGTAAAGAATGAACCAGAGGGCGATGGCCATGAACGCAGGGAAGAGGGGCAAATCCCAGAGAGTCTTCAGTGGAGGAAGCCGAGGCCTAGTCAAGGTGAAAGATGGCGAGTCTCAGGTGAGAGCTTTCGTGAACTAGAAGGTGCCGTGTGACACACTGACCGTAGGCTATGCAGAGAGGTGGGCGTGAGACAAGCCCAGGGTGTACCCAAGCTGAGGAGGAAACTAAGGCTGGACTGCCAGGGAGACCCCTCTGGACTGAGAGGACAGGGTGAGGATAGGGCTTGAATGACATGGGTGAAGACAGATCTTCCCAAGAGAACGAGGGCCCCCGGTGAAGGGCAGCCACCTGGCAGTCATGACAGCTGGACCCCTCTCCGTGCCCCGGCAGGAGGGACGAGCACTTTCCTCCCGGGGTACTCTTACTTCAGCTGAGATCTCTGCAAGGGGCGGTGCTGGTGACCAAGATTTGGAGGGAGTCGGGGCGAGAAAAATGGAGGGTGTGATGTGGACGGAACTGTGTTCCCCAAAATTCATGTTGAAACCTTAACACCCAGTTCCTCAGCTGTGACCGTATTTGTAGACAGAGCCTTTAATGGGGTGATTAAGTTATAATGAGGCCGTGAGGGTGGGCCCTGATTCAATCTGACAGGTGTCCTTATAAGAAGAGATTGGGATGCAGAGACACAAGGGTTGTGTCCACATCGAGGAAAGGCAATGTGAGGGCAGTGAAAAGGCAGCCCTCTGCAAGCCAAGGAGAGAGGTCTCAGGAGAAACTAAACCTGATGACACCTTGACTGTGAACTTTGGGCTTCCAGAGCTGTGAGAAAAGAAATTCCTGTTGTTTAAGCAGCCCACAGGGCCTGGCCAGCCAACCCATGTCAGACACAGCCCCGGCCACAGAGGGAGACCAGCTGAGCCATTTACCAGGCGGGGGGGTCATGCTGTGCTGAGGCACTCTGGAGCCCCTCAGGATACTGCCCTCCCTGGCGCCCACGCAGCCCTGTGGGGGTCTCAGCCCTCCCTAGCTGCTCCCCAACCAGGACAGAAGCACAGGAAGGTTACTTGTTGATGGGTCGTCCAGCAGGGACATGTTCTACCTCATAGCCTTCGCGCCGCAAAACATCGAGCACTGTGTTGTTGCCAATGAAATGACCTGCGGTAAGAAAAACGATCAGAAATGTGGCAGCTCTCATGACCACCAAACAGACCCCGAATGCACACCCAGAACAAAGAAATACCCCTGCCAACCCCCCTTCCCTGTGTCCCACCCAGTATAGTTGCAGAAAGTTTCTGCAGTTGGACCTCCCAGCAGCCCGGTCGGGAAGGCAGCTGGGGAGCAGCATTTCAGAAATGAGGACACCAAGGAGCAGAGTGGTGCCATGAGCTGCTCGCAGTCACACAGCTAAGGGGAGGCCCTGGGACCAAACCCCCCACCTCTGAACTCAGTGCTAATTAGAGAGTAAACCAAGACCCGAGCCCCTTGTCCTACACATATTTATAAATGCACAATAAAAACCTCCACTTAGAAGCCACCATAGCTGGAAGCCTCAACCTGAATTTTATTTCACTTCTTTCCTTTTCAGAAAAAGCAGCAAAGATCACCAGGTAAGCTTTCACTGGCACCTTAAATATTTTCAAGGCCAAGGGTAGGTCCTGGATTCATTTCTTTCATGTCAGGTTTTGGTGCTCAGGACTCACATCACCTACATCACAATGTTCCTTTAGGTGAAAGTTTATGGCACTTTAATGTCTTAAATGGCTAATTAACTAGCAGCACCCCATCCTCTGATCCAGCAGAACTTTAGAGGTATCATTATTACATCCACTTTAAAATTTAAAGCTGGGGTAAAATAGGTTCAGGACTTCACATGCTAAGAAGCCACAGAGCAGAACCTAAACTCAGGCAGTTTGGCTCCAGAGTCTATGCAATTTTGACCAGTGACTACCCAACAGCTGAAAACTGGGAAAGGAATGAAGGCACATCCAAACTGTGGGAGAGGCTGGTCTGAAGGCCTCTCCCTCATCCTAACTCCCCAGCTCTAAGAAGCAGAGTGAACTTTCGATCAGCCTTTGGGACCCTGGGGGCCAAGGGTGGTATTGCGGCAGAAGCTTCTGGGCTCTCCTATGTTCTTGGGTCCAACTGCAGAGTCTATGACCCAAGGCTGACAAAAGGCAACTGACTCAGATAAAAGGGAGTAGGGGTGAGGAACAGAGAGGGTGTTATGGGCTGAACTGGGTCCCCCCAAATTCATACAAGGAGGAATCCAAAAAATTGGAATTATCTCCTGGAGGGCGGGCACCTTGCAATGGAGCCTTCCTCCACTAGGTGAGTGTTCTAGGAACCCACCTGTATCAGTGCACCAGCTGGTGGTGCTGTAAGAGGCTACCATCAGCTTAAGTGAATTTTTTTTCGAAGACTCTCAATGCAGTTGAGAGTCTTCAGAAAATTTCATGGTGGGTGATTTACGAGCACACCTGCCCACACGGCATTTGAGTGTTCAGCAGTTTTTGACCAAAAACGGCATGACCCCCATGCCCCACCCTCCCTATTCACCCGCTCTCACCCCAAGCAACTTTTTTTGTTTCCCCAGATGAAAAAAGTTCTCAAAGGGAAACATGTTGCCAATGTGGAAGAGGTGAAATAAAAAAGAGAGAGAGAGAGAGAGAGAGAGAAGCACTAAAAGGCCTCAAAATTGACGGGTTCAAAAACTGTTTTGAGCAGTGGAAGAAATGTCTCGATAGGTGCATTGCATCGAGTGGAGAGTACTTTGAAGGTGACTGAAGTTTAAACATGTAAGGATACAGAAATTTTTATAAATTCCAGTTTTGGGGGGTTCCCTTCATATGTTGAAACCCCAACACCCAGTTTTTCAGGTGTGACTGTATTTGTAGACAGAGCCTTTGATGAGGTGAACCAGTTAAAATGAGGCCAGTAGGGTGGGCACTGACCCAATCTGATGGGTGTCCACACAAGAAGGGGAGATCTGGACACAGAGACACAAGGATTGTGTGCACCTGGAGGAAGGGCGCAGTGAGGACAGTGAGAAGCCATCTGCAAGCCCAGGGGAGAGGCCTCAGGAGAAGCCAAACCTGACAACACATTGATTTTGAACCTCTACCATTTACTGAGTATCATGAGGTGGGGGGCACTGCTCTTGATGCTGGACACGTCATTCAACACCCCACAACTCTATAAAGTAGGAATATTATCACCCCCCCCCCTTTATAGATGAGGAAGAGGCACAGGGAAATTAAGCAAACTGCAACTTGAACCCAGGTGGTCTGGCTCCAGAGTCCACACTCTCAACCAACTAGGAATGAAAAAAATAATTGCCAAGTGAATAAACAGCCCCTATTAGCAATGCTTTAGCATTCTGAAACCAAACTATTCTGCTTAACTGCAGTGTTCCTTCTACTCCAAAGGTGAGCTCCATTTCTCATTTTTAAATTTTATCTCCAGACTCCAATGACAAAAGTTGCTTCTTGATTTTAAAGCTCCAAAACTTTAGTTTTTGGTTATCCTCACTTTACAATTAAAAGTTTGCTACATACACAGATTTCAAAATGTTATGCTGCCGGCCCGGGCCAGGTAGCCCAGATGGTTAGAACATCGTCCCAGTACGCCAAGGTTTAATCTCCAGCTGGGGCACATACATGAATCAACCAATGCATGCATAAGTATGTGGAAAAATAAATTGATGTCCTTCTCTCTCCCTGCCATATCCCTTCCTCTCTCTCTCTCTCTCTCTTTCTCTCTCTCTCTCTCTCAAATCAATTTAAAAAATAATGGTATGCCGCCAAGGCTGTTTGGGAGCAATCTGAATTTCTGTGGTTCCCTCTGGTCCACTCAGCCATCAGAGGCACAAGGAGAAATGGACTCAGTGTGGAGAAAGCAGCCCCAGGAGGAAAACTTGGCCCTACCAGCTATCCAGACCTCTCCTGACACCCGAAAAGCCCAGGGACTGGGAGCTCTCCATGCAGGGCTGCAGCAGTGTGGAGAACTGTGCCCTGCGAATCCGGCAAGCCCAGGTGTGGCAGTGTCACCTGTGCCATCCGCCTAACATGGTCCCCCTCTGGAAGACCTGCCTTCCGAACTGCTCAGATCCAACCCACCCACTGCTCACCAGCCAACCTGCTGCCAGCTTTGTTCTGGCCCAGAATGCACCTGGCACAGCAGCACCACAGGGCAGGCTGCTGTCATCTCAGAGTGCCCACCTTTCCCCTGTGCCCAGGGCCCCATTAATCCCACGCTAGATGCGAGAGAGGTCAGTTGAGTTTGGCAGGAGTGGAAGGTGAGAGTCAGCCTTGCATGCCCCGCTCTCACACTCTCCAGCATTGTGTGTGTTCCACCCACACGGACCAGCACAGCTGCCGATTGTTGTATATTGATCTTGTATCCTGCATTCTTGTAACCTGAACTCAGTTATTAGTTTTAATTGCTTATTAATAGATTACTTAAGATCGCCTATACACAAGATCATGTCAACTAAGAAAAGAGATATTTTTCTTCCTTCTTTCCAATCTGAATGCCTTTTATTTCTTTTCCTTGTCTAACTTCCCTGGCTAGAACATTCAGCACAGTGTTGAAGAGAGGTGGTGACAGCAGCCATTCTTGTCTTGTTCCTTATCCTAGGGGACAAACATTCAGTCTTTCATCATTAAGTGTGACGTTAACAGGGCTATTTCATAGTCACTTCTTTAACAGGCTAATTAAGTTCCTTTCTATACCTACATGGATGAAAGAGTACTGCATGTTATCAAAGGCTTTTTCTGCATGTACAGAGGTGATCATCTGGTTCTTGTCCTTTAGTCCATTAATATGGAGTATTACACTAATTGATTTTCAAATGCTGTGGTAGGCTGATTAATGGTGCCCCAAAATGTAGCTACATCCTAATCCCTGGAACCTGTCAGTGTTATCCTCTATGCCTCCCACACAGCCACAACAGGAGGATTTAGCAGATATCATTAAGCTGAAAATCTAGAGATGGGGAGATGATGCTGCATCACTCACTCTGCCATGCTGGAGTGCTGCTCTCCGACTCCCCGTTTTACTGCGGGGGGCGGAAACCAACCCTAGCGGGGTGACTTGTTCACCTTCATGAGGCCATTAAGGAATTGGAAAGAGAAAGCCTCGGCCAGCAAATGCCCCTGCTGTCCTGCTGCACACAACCAGCCCCTGGCATTTCTGTCCTGAATCCCAGAGGCTACAAAACTGTGACAGAATCACTCAAGAAGAAGAAAGAATTATTTCAAAAAGCCCACAAAAGGCAAATTTTTCCAGTTTGTCTGCATGTACACAGTTAGTAATAGTTAATAGTTAGTAATAGCTAACATAGCCCTGGCTGGTGTGGCTCAGTGGATTGTGTGCTGTCCTATGGACTGAAAGGTTGCTGGTTCGATTCCCAGTCAGGGCACGTGCCTGGGTTGCGGGCCACAGGCCCAGTTGGGCGTATGCAAGAGGCAATCAATCAATGTTTCTTTCCCTCTCTTTCTCCCTCCCTTCCCCTCTCTCTAAAAATAAACAAATAAAATCTTCTTAAAAAGAAATAAAGTATAGTAATAGCTGAAGTGTCAGCCCCAGGCCTTACACGCTTGGGAGACTCACAGTCAGGTAGGAGAGAGAAGACAGACAAATTTTAGTGGAAGTTTAAAAAGTGAAAGGTGCCCGGAAGAAGTTGGGATTCAGTGCTGAGTTCAGAAGAGAGAGAAATGCCTTCCCGGCTGGAAAGCGTATCAAGAGCCCTGGTGGTGTCACATGCACCAGCCCATCCAGCAACTGTTCCACATGCTGGATACTCAGCCTCCAGCTGGAGCCACTTTGCACCTGCAGAAAATCCAAGGTGTCACTCATCTCACCTCTTCCCAGGGGCCCACCTCAGCATCCCCTTCATAGGAGAAGCGTCAGAGGCAGGATCTAATCAGGAGTAATGGCAACTCACCAGCTCCAAAGGCAAAGAAAAAGCCTTTGTCGGGGAACTCCTCCAAGAGGGCCTTCACCCGCTTCCCCATCCTCTCGTTCCGCTTGTAGATTAGCTCCTGGCGGAAGTAGCTGTCAATCTCCTGAGCTGTGATGCGTTCCTGAGGCAGCAGCGTGGCATTAATAAAATTGGGAACCTCCACCAAAATAAAGAAAAAACATTAAGGGCAACAGAGTTATGAATGAAGTGGCTTAATTTAAGCATTAAATTACCGAGCCTAGAGGGTCAAGATGCTGTCAAGGAGGAGAAAGCGCGCACCGTTCTTGGAGTCTCCCACCTCCTACTTTCCAAGCTGTAATTTCAGTCTCCGGAACCCAAGTAGAACACATTAAATGAAGTGCACTGAAAGAACTTTTCAGCTGTTTAAAACAGTATTTCTGTTGAACTTAAATGATCCTCTTTGATGCCATATGTTTATAAGGAGACCATATCTTTGCATAGCATATCCATAGTTTATTTAGTTAACAAGTGCTTCTTTAGTCAAAATAACTTTACATAATTACTATTTTAGAAGCAGTAATTAGATTCTACCACCAAATACATGAAATTTCTATAAACATTCAACTGTTTTATAAATTCCATACATTTAAATTTTCATTATTTCTCCAATTCCTATTTCTCCTTCTTGCTTTCTGCAATGTTCTTTGCCCTCCTGGCAAATACTTCGCCTGACTCTGGTAAACATGTAAACCAATTTCCGTACTTTGGCTAACAGAGTATTATTACACCAAAATTGTGACAATCAGGGGTGGCTCTTGCAACACAGTGGCTATAGATGAGGCTGACGTATTGTGTTCTCTCCTCACCCCACTGACTCTCTGCTCCCCAATCCTCAGCCTCCTCTACCCAGGGATCTAACAAGGTTAACCTTTACCTTAGTCAGATATTGAAGAGGATATCTGCCCTGCCTGCTTCTCCTATTTTCAATGGCCTCTCAAAGACCTCCCGCAAGCCCTCACACTATAACACAGCCATCAGTTTCCATTTTATGGCTAACATATCTTCTTTTGCTATTCCCTTAAAATATATTCTTGTTTTCAAATCAAAAATCTTATCTTCTCCTTTATCATCTTTTTTTTAATTATGTCATTTAGGTAAGGTCCTCCTGCCCATTGCCCAAAATCTCTTCTCTTCAGCAGAGCACTCCCCTGGTACCAGCCGCCCACATAGGCACCCAGAGCGCGCAGGGAGACGTCCCCCCGCCATTGTGCTCCACCTTCGGAACACCAGACATGGCCCGCACCCTGCCCCGCTCAGCCCTGGCCAGCCTGGCCCTCATTCCTCAATGGCAGGCACATTCCCCTTACCTCATGTCACCTGCAGGGGCCTGCGCAGGACAGGAATGGAGGAGCCACAGGGAAGAAATGTATAAGACATCTGTCCCCTAATTGATCCATCAGCCTTACCATTTGTCCACATAACCTCCAAATCCCCCACCCACATTAACTTTTCTCTACTGCTGCAAATTTTCATTTCCCAATTGACCTTGACATTTCTTCCCACTTCCCCTACCTCCACCAAGAGCGCACATAAGAATTATCACCGTCACAAACTCTGCTATTCTTTTTTAGTGTAATTCTTGTTTTCCCTTTCCTCTTGCTTGCTGTGCCTTGGTTTTACTTCCTCCCACTCTAGAGTCTCTGGAAAGCTCATGATGGCCTTTGACGCGTGTGGAGCGTCAAAGATTCAGCCTCTGTTGTCCGTCTCCTCAGTGCTGCCATTCCTTTTTCAACCCTATAGTCACTCGCTTCTCCTTATACAGGCTCCCCAGACGTGGACACGTCACTCATACCCACCAGCTCCTTTCTCTCTTTCCCCGGTGTCCTCCTGCATGAGGACACTGGTCCTGGTGGGTGGAGGCAGCACACTCCCCTATCTCAGAAGCTTAGCTGGCACTTGCCACTTTCATATGGCCTTAGCGAGGTGGCGGGGGTGGCGGGGGGACAGCCATGGTTCATCCCATGGGAGGTTTGTTCATAAAAGCAAGACAAGTACCCATCCACCTTGGCCCTGCAGGAAGGCTGCAATGCTCTGAGCCCTGACCAACTGCTCCCTTCGCCGTGACAGCCCACAGGTAACACCTGTCCTGCCCGAACACTCCCGGCAGAGCTCGGCCATTCCCTGCAGGGCTGCAGGGTGGAACCCATGTCTGGACACCCTGGTAGCCTCCCCAGCCCTGGAGGTGCCACCCCTGTAAGAATGCCATGGACTCTTCAGTTGCACCACGTGCACGTGTTCCTAGAAGCCACAAAAGTTTTGCTCCATCGCTTCTCAAAAGTGTTACCTAAGTCAGCCAGGAGGCTTCAGACTCGGCTCCTTTCCCTCAGGAGGCTGGTTCAGGCTGCCTGCCGCCTAAGCCACGAGGCCTGCTGCTGAACCCCTTGAAGCTTCGTCCTTTGACCGGGATCCTGGAGTTAACTTGAATCAATGCCCCTCTCAGTTCTTAAGTTTCATAGAGAACGCTTTTGTTAGCTGCAGCATCGCATTCAACATCTAACTCTGGTCAATTTTATTTTTAGAGCCCTTCATGACCCTAATCCTTTGTACACAGAATGTCCAGGTATCAGTAGGTAATGTCTTTATTCCTGTTTTTAAATGAGCTGGGCAGAGGACCAGGGCCCTCACCTGGGAGCTATCGTGGCTGAAGATGACGGAGCTGAGGTCCCCGCAGTTATACTGTTTGATGAGATCCTCCGTCGTGTAGGGGATCTGAAGGCTGCCTGCTCGCAGGCTCTCCTGCTGCAGGAGGGTCTGGTTCAAAGCAAAGATGACCTGGAAGAGAGTGGGGAAAACACAGGTCCCTGTAAGTCCCCTGACCCAGGCATCATCAGCTGCCACCTTGTTTCTTCTGTCTGTGTTTGACAATAGCCTCACCTCTGTGATGCTGCTATTTAAAAAGGGAACACAGATTCCTGGTCAGTGTCCAAAAAAGAAGGACAGTCCTGCCCCAGTCGGTCCCCGTCGGATCACACCTGGGGAAGTGCCTCAAGGGGAACCGAGAGCACCGGGAAGTCTCCCACAGGAGTGACTGAGGGGTGAGGGGACCCGAAGAGCGAGCTTGTGAGATGCCTGAAGAAGCAGGGGAGGGGCTGCGGGGAGGGGCTGGGGCACACAGATGGACACACCTACCAGCGGGTTTCAATGATATGAAGGACTGGACAAAAATACATACACAATGCCCTGGCTGGTGGCTTGGCTGGTTGGAGCATCGTCCCATACACCAAAAGCATGTGGGTCTGACCCCCAGTCAGGGCACATACCAAGGTCATGGGTTCGATTCCCGGTTGAGGAACACACGGGAGAACCAATCCATGTTTCTCCCTCACATCGATGTGTCTCTCTTTCTCTTTCTCTCTCTCCCTCTCTCTCACCACCCCCCCAACCAATAAACACATCCTCAGATGAGGATTTTAAAAAAAAGAAGAATATATATACAAGTCTTTTCTAACCATCAGTGGGGCATTTGCTGGCTAATGGATTCATTGTGTCCATGGAATGTTAACAGAAGTTATTGAAAAAAAAAAAAAGGTGGGGGGATATGAGGGCTAAACAAAATCAAATAGGTTTTATCTGCACACGACTTCTCAGAGTCTTTGATACACTAACATGTGGTGTGTTTCTCCCCAAGGAGGAGAAATTGTGCGCGGTTCCCTGGAACAGCTCGTGGGAAAACCCAAATTCACGGAACGTTACAAAGCAGCAAATTCTCCGTGGTACTGCGGAGCTCGGTCAGCGTGGGCAAGGTGGGGATTCTGGCCCCAGGTGGGAATCGGGGCTGCCCGCCCTCCACAAGGCTCTGACGACACTGAAGATGCTGTAGCACTGTCTCCCATTCTCCCAGGTACGATGCAGACACACCACCTTTGACAGCTGCCCTCCCACATGCCCCCCCCAGTAATCAGTGTACAGAGTACTGCCTTTGCTGGAGTAGTCCCTCCCTCTTTGCTCAGGTGCAGACAGGCGGTCCATGCAAGCACACTGACCATGCAGTCCTCAGCAGGAAGTTTTCAATTCTCCAAAGACAATACATTACAGGCCTCAAATCAGCCAATGACCCTGCACAGCCCCGCCCCCGTTTCGCTCTCCTTTCACACTTTCTCCTCCTCCCTCTGAGTGGCAAAGGGGCCCAGAGACTTGCTGATTTCTTTCCCACAGGCCACTGCTGCACGGACCTGCCTACTGCCTGCCCTCCTCCCATGCCCCTACCTCCCTTGGTCACTATCTCTGTCATAAGGCCTTAACCGAAGGGGGAGGGGACATGTTCCCCTTTGTAAAATACCCTCCTCTCCTCTCTTCTCTTGACATGCCCTCCTCCTCTCAGTCAGCGGTACCTCCAGCCTCTTCTGGAGGTCATCTCCCTAAATATCTGCAGACCAGCCTCTCCTATCTGGGGACAGGATCTTCTCGACCATGTTCCCTCCCTCCCCACCCCTCTGCTAGTGACAAGAGCTGACAGAGAGGCAGATGCACCCACACACAGGACCACAAATTATGATCTAAGTGAGGAAACATCCTTCCACAGAGGTGAGTGCCTGGATTCTAAAGCCATACCGTTAGGACCTCTCCACCCGTCATGGGAATTGCTAACTGGCCTCAGACTCGCTGGAGGAACATAGTTTTACAGGAGAGGACAAGAGGCCTTATGAAGCATCTCCCAGACATGCCAGGCCCAGGCCAAGGTCTCACACATTCTGTCTCAGTCAAACTCATCTAAACCAAGTTCTCAAGGTTCTGATTGGCTCACAAACACCTGCTGATGGATTTCGCTGTTTTAAAGGCATTCAGGACAAGCCCAGTTTACCTGTTGCTAAGAGACCTTCCTCCAAGTTTTACAATGAACTGAAATGTTTTTCCTAAGATATTCTTGGTATAAGAGAAGACTGAGCCATTCATTTTAATGGACATGCCAGTCTACAAACTGGGAAACACTATATGGCCAAAGATCTTTGTTTATTCAGTCCTTTCTCAACATATTCAAATGTCATTCACCTTAAAGACATTTCACCTGTTCTTAAGAAGCTTACAAAGCTTTGCTAGGATGTTTGTCTTTGCTTTGTATGTTTACTTTTGATAATTAAGCTTTAAAGAAGTTTGCATACCAAACTAAGCCAATAACATTCATGATTTTTGAGTGTTTACAATAAACCAGGCCCACTGCTAAGTGCTTTGCTTACATTCTCATTTAATCCCCCTAAAATCCTAAAGTAGTAACTACTGTTAAATTGATTTTTAAAATTAGAACAATAGTAGTTAAATAATTTGTGAAAAGTCACATAGCTTAGTAAACCAAGATAAGGTTTTGAACCCAAACAACCTAACTCCAGAGCCTGAAATCTTCACCACTAGACTGTACATGAGGTATGCTGCTACCAAGTAGCAGTAATTAGCTTTTGTCATGTAGTCTAATTTAATTATTAAGCTTAAATTAAAAAATAATTAGGAATCTGAAATTGGGAATAAAAAACTGAATGGAAAAGAGGGAAAGAGAGTTGTGGAAAAGAGGGAGAGTTGTAGAAAAGAGAGAAAAGAGAGAGGCAGGAAAGGGAATCAGGAGAAAAGACACACTAAAGCTGTTTTTTTTTTTTAAACTCAGATTAAGAGTAACACACACACATTATAGGTAATCTTGGGCAAAAAAAGTATAAAAAAGAAATTGTAAATGCCCATAAGTTCAACACTTGGGTTTTAACAAATTTTAGCAACTTGTGAGTATATTGTGAATGTATTTAGTTTATTCTACACATTTTATACAGTTGATTGTATTATATATAAAGTTTAGCATCCTGCTCTTTCTAGGTGACAGTGTAGGCATTTCCTCATATGACTAAAGCTTTGCTTAGCCTTTATTATGTATTATGTGATATGCCATAATTTAGCTAAACTTTCTATTGTCAAATATTAAGGTCTTTTAAAAAAAACTATCATAAATAACACACCATCAAGAGCATCTGCAAGCAGAAAGTTTTTTCTGTTTTCAAATTATTTCTACCTAAGATCAGGGCTACTGAGTGAACGGGCATAAATCATTCAAAGTTTTCAGAACCGCTTTTTTACTTCTGCTTTTTTTATGAGAAAAGTTTAATTCTTCATCAAGACACAGACTCAGTAGTAACACAGGCCGTCTCCCAAAACCAGTGTTATAGAGAAGCCCCACCTCTGATATGGTCAGTCGCTCCGGTCAGTCGCTCCGCAGGGTGCAGCCCCAGCAGCAAGCCCAGGGCACGCGCAGCTGTGACCGCCCCCTACCCCACTCCCCCACCCCCCACCCCGGCCTGGAAGCCTCTTCCTGCCCTTCTCCCCATGCCAAACACAACGTCCTTTCAAATCGCAGCAGGAGGGTCTCCTCCTCAGTGAAGCTGTTACTGAGGAGAGAGCCGAGTCAGGCGACCCCGTGCCCCAGGGAACTTGGGGCACAAGGACTGTACATGGACAGTCAAAAAGCCCAGGTGCAGCAGGCAGCATGTCCCACCAGGAGCCAGAGCACGTGGCCAGGAAGGGGAACCGAGACAAAGGAGAAGGTGCGGGGTCCTGGCTGAGGGCCCCTGGCCACAGGCACTGCCCTCTCACCGCCTCCCCAGCCGCCTCCCAGCCACCGATTGCCTCCCTACCTCCATTCTATTCCTTTCTTTAGAGTCTGCGCTAACATTTTCTCCCAAGTTGTATAACAGAGGACCACAGACTGAAAGGTTTAAACAACAGAAATGTATTTGTCTTACAGTTCTGGAGGTCTCAAGTCTGAAATCAGGCCGTGGGCAGGGTCATGCTCCCTCTGAAGGCATTAGGGAAGGATCTGTCCCAGGATCTCTCCCAGCCTCTGGGGCTCCCTGGCTTGTGATCGGTAACTCCCGCCTTCTCGTGGCATTCTTCCTGCGCGTGTCCAAACTGGATTAGTGCTCACTCTGACGACCTCAGCTTGACTTGATCACCTACAGTGACTATTTCCAGACAAGGTCATATTCACAGGTCCTGGGGGGGTTAGGACTTCAATGTAAGAATTTGGGGACACATCAGCCCATAAAACATGTTAATCTCAGCTCTACTGTTTTTTAATAGTTAAATATGCATATGGTAGAAATTTCATACAGTACAAATAGATCTCCTTCCCATTCATGTTTTTTTTTTACTTTACTGTTGTTCTATTACAGTTGTCCCAATTTTTCTCCCACTGCCCTCCCCTGCCCCGCCCACCCCCCCCTCCCACAGTCAATGCCCACCCTGCTCTCCATGTCCATGGGTCCTTTATACATGTTCCCTGACTAGACCCTTCCTCACCTTTCCCCTCTTCTCCCCCTCGCCCCACCCCCATTCTTGTTTTTCAATTGTCATTCTTAAAAATAATCCTACTGCCAGTATCTTTATGTCTTTCCATGCCAGTCTCTAGATGTAAAAGCTGGTAGATAAACAGATAGAGGATGGATGAATGAATAGATAGATAAATAGATCCTCTGCTTTTTGATTTTTGCTCCTTTGGCCTGCAAGTAGTCAAATAAAAGCCTTTCCATGAATAAACGCTGAAGCTACACATTGTAAGGAAAGCCAAGTTTGGCAAACAGGGATATCTTCCACTGGTTTGTGAAGTAAATGCACCCTGAGACCTCCTTATCCACCAGATAACACCAATCATGAAGGCAAATCACAGAAAAAGGAAAGGGAAATGGAAATTTCTAACTGCAAGAAGAGGCAAAATTAAGGTTTCCTACAACCTTTCTGGTAGGAAGGCAGGTCGGGGGCAGAAGCCCCTTGGAGGCACTCGAGGGGCGTTCCCACCGCCT